AGGAGCAGCACACAACTTTGTCTTCCTGGCCAGTCGGGAGGGAAGTCCTTGCCTTGGACGGGAGGCTGTACGAGATGTCCTTTGAGGCCCTTCCCAAGGCTGAGCGTCTTGGCGCCGAGGGCGGGGCTGGCATCACGGAGCCGGCTCCAGTGCTCTCCCCACTAGAGAACCCGGCGCTGGAAGTGCCGTCCTGCTTCTCGGCGCGTGTGCAGTGTCACGGCAGGTCTGAGATCCCGGATGAAGCTTCAAGGGTTCCCTTGGTCACTGGGATCAGGTTGGAGCCAGCTCTCTCTGCTGACATATTTATGGGTTCATAGGCTAAATAAGTACACACCTAACCCTTTGCAAATCTAGTCCTTTGCTCTTCTCCATGCAACCCCTCCTCATTGTATCAGTAGTAGTATCTAATACCTTGTTCGTTCCTTTTATGTTCCAAGCCCTAACAGTTTTCCTGTATTAATTTAGTCTTCACAATCATCTAACAGAGGGAATATAATTTTATAATCAAGGAAACAGAAATTTTTAGGGTTACTACAATAGAGTCATTTGGGAGAAAGGAATGGGTGGGTGAATACTAGTCATTATATTCGATGTACAGATGTGAAAACGAATTACATAACTTGAGGTTTTGGGTGGGGTTGGGAAAGATGGGAGGGAATGATGGAAGGGGTGCATTGTACTCATAACCTTATTCACTGAATTGAAACTTCCTTTGTACCTTACTTAAAGAGAATAATTTTTAAAAACTGCCACATACACACACACACTCACAAAAAAACAACAATGGCCCATTCAACATTGCAGCCTGGATTTGAACCCATATATCTGGCTCCAATATTCTATTCAGGATGTAACTATTCTCTTAGAATGCTCAAAAGACACAGAGAAAAATAAGATGTTGGCCCAATGTTTTGCAGACTGTGGCTGATGCCCCATTAGTGGGTTATGAAACAAATGGGTAGGCTGTGACCATTGAAAACATCCACAGTTACAGAGTAGTAGAGAAAACCATCAGCACTGCTCACAGGAGGAAGGGTTCTCTGGGGTGTAGTTACAAGAGTGCCCTGGTTGTAATGTAAAAGGTGTCTGTAACCGTGGCATAAAAGACAGAAACACAGATTTGGCCCAACCTGCGATTTTTACAAATGAGTGTTCTAATATCCAGGCAGCAAAGTATTGTTCCCAAGACTACTGAGCACTTGCAGATGAACTGAGATAAAATCTGTTTACATCATCGAGCTCAATGGGCTGCAAGGAAAACCAAGGAAAGAGTAATGACCCTAATGAAAGTAAGAGTGCAACCACCAGCAACCCTCAGTGTCTCGGCTAGCCCGACTGACTGAAGCCTCAGAACTGCGCAGTGACCCAGGCACCGACGTCATCTCCTCCATTTTCAAATAAGGAAATGCTGGCACAGGAAGGACATGGTACTGAGCCAACGCCACCACAGCTGGTACGAGAGGAGTGGGAGGCTGGCTGCTCCAGTGGCCAGGGCTATCCATGCGTAAAGCACTACACAATCCTCTCCACGTTAATATTCTCTCTGAACACTGCCGGGCCAGTGTACGTACACTCCAAAGAACAGGTAGTGCTATAATTACTTATCCAAAAGGGATTGGGGAAGTTGACCAGCATATACAAACGACACTACGAAGTAGAGGCAAATGGGATAGAGGAAGAGCAAGCAGTGTGGCGCTAAGTGGAACCAGAACAAGGCTCCCACAAGAACACCTTCCATAGCTCTTCGCTTGCTACAGTTAGATTACAGGTGGACCCGACATCGGTCCACTGGTTTGCGCTTCCATTACTGGTGAGTTCCCACACAGAACAGCAGGGAGACCCTCCGTTTGGGTCATTGTCTCCTTGAAAGTGATGGTAATGGTTTTTTAGACCCACAGCCTCCTCAAGGTAAAAAATGAACTCATTTCTCAAGGAATGCACACACCTCCTTAGGCAACAGGGGCAGGAAATGATCCCTCATGTGTCCTTGGCGTTTTTATAATGTACGGGCACCTGCATCATAGACTTGTTCCCGAGGAGAGTCTCCCCGCTGCCACAGGAAAGGGGAAGAAGAGTGATTCCTGATGTCCATTCTTGGTCACCATAGTGATGTCCCAGCACTGCCCCTGACTAAGGAGTCCCCTCTAACCCGTTAGCTCCATCGTTGAGATTATCCTGCCAAAAGTGCTAACCGAGGACCTTCTGATCACCTGGCTGCTCAACCTCAAGTCTCTTGCTTATGAACTTAGACCCACAGTCTGTGTTCGCTGCAATAATCTGGAACACAGTGAGGACAACAGGGAATCCCATCTCAGGTACTCAACAAAACGTGTTAATGGAAGAGGAAAACGAGGAAATTGGAGGTGGAAGGAAACGCTGTGGCAGCTTCCTTGGAGATGACAGAGGCTGTGAGCAGACAGAATGGACCCTAGTAATGGTGTGGAAATACCAGAGAACAGTTCCTGGAGGGATGCTGGTCAGAAGCAGATGGTTAGATGGTGAGCAGGAAGTCTAATTGAGAGACTCATTTGGGCAATGGCTAGACTAATCTGATTGGGGAAGCCAGGAAAACAAAAGATACAGGATTGGCCTTTTATTTTGAATATTTGTGCAGGATGAGGATTTATGAGAATTCCCACGAGGGAATAGCAGCATTCGTAGTATTTTGAAATAATAAGAGTATAATTGTGTAATGCTGGAAACAGTAAGAATAAGTTTATACTCCAATTAGATGTTCAGTCCCAGATATAATATTGCACACCATAAATAAGTTTGTCATCTAGGTATAAGATGTGTGAGCTTTGGGCTCACAAAGAAGTTTTGAAGTTTGTGGCTCCAATGGACGTGTTGTGCAAGATGACTTCTCCAGGGCCAGGCAGCAAGCCAAGAATGAAAACCTCGAGCGCAAGAACCCAACAGAAGGCTAGGCAAGGTATGGTTCATCCCGAACCGTCTCCCCCATCTCCTGTCACCTTGACATTTGTGGGAAGGCAGCTTCTTGGGAGGCTTTTAGTGAGCTAACCTGAAGAAACCTCTCTAAGGTCAGGTAGAGCCACATTCCACTTCCGCTGGGAAAGGCAATTGCTGACCATACTCTTCCAGGGCCTCCCTCCCCACATAACCTCACCTGGAGGCCAACATGACTTTCCAGACAAGAACGTGGAGATGGCAGTGGCCACACATCAAGATAGGAGACAGAGCTTCCTCAGATTAGTTCTAAGACACCCCAAAATTTCATTCCACACAAGCCACGTGGTACCCCAAAACTTCTAGGGTGAAAAGTGATTAGAGAAAGGAAGGAAGGGAGGGAGAGAGGGAGGGAAGAAGAGAGGGAGGGAAAGAAAGGTAAATAAGAGAAACTCTACAATCACACTGCCCAGGTTTCCACTTGGAACAACTAAGGAACGTGGCAACATTTTCATGAGATTGAGAAACCATGTTCCACCCTCCTTTCTGAAGCTTCCAAAATGTCATCATAAATCCTATGCAAACACAAGCCAGGGGAAAGCCTTTCTGTCATGCGGGATGGTGCCAAGGGTTAGAAACTCTCCAGTGTTCTGAGTGGAAATCTGTCGTTACAATGTCTATCCTTGGGCCTAGCTCCACACCCAGGCTCTCCTTTTCCACTTGTCAGCCCTTCGGGTCCAACAAGAGACCTTTCCCTCCCTGGTAGGTCTTCTGTGCCCCAGGGAAAATGTCTCTCAGGCCTCTCAGGCCTCCGGCCTCCTGGCCCAGGCCCTCTACCAGCCTTGTCACTCTCCCCTAGAACCCCTTCCGCCACCTACAAGTCCTGTTCTGCAGAGCGGTTGTAACGCCATAGCCTGGCATTCCTGCCGGGCTGGAGCACTTTCCAAGCATTCCAGAAATTTGTTATGGTCCTGGCAGCCAAACCCACAAACCCCAGATCCCAACCTCGCACTGAGGAGCCCAAGAACATGTTCACATCATCCCCTGGCTGCCTCGGCCCGTGAGAGGTCTTGCTGGACACCATCCTTTGGCCTCTGGGATCAATCATGACTCTCTTGTTGTTGCTGTTGTTGGCTGTTCCTCAGGTCACTTGATTGATGGGACAGATACTGCTCCAGAGGCCTCACGTGTGGAAACCTGAGAATCCATTACCATGCCCGGGTGACTGGTCCCGCTTGATGGGGAGTAGAGCAAGTAGGGAGGTCCTGGGTGTCTGCCCCAGGATTCCAGGGCAGGGTCATCTATAAGGGCTGAACCCCCAGATTCCTGCCCCAGAGTTAACCCAAGCACCCCACCCTCAGCACTCCAAGTCAGCAGCCTCATTTCCAGCAACTTCACCCTTCTCCACGCAACAGCCACGCTTCCAGACGGCACCGGCTCCTCTGTGCTGTCACATCACCATAACCACCACCGTCACCCAACCACCACCACCATCAGAGTGTCTTCAATTCCTCCTCGAGGCAAGAATCTACCTGCAGGACCCTGCCTCAGCCTCTAGACTGGAAGCTCCTTGAGAAAAACCCTTGGGTCTTATTTAGCTGTGCCCCAATTCTAGTGTGAAGCCAGCATGAGGTAAGTTCTTATGAGAGTACATGGATACCTTTGGCCTACTTTCTCCAGTGAGAAAGATGGAAAAGGAGCCAGGGAGAGAAGACCGCAGCCTCTGCTCTACTGTCTCCATCATGGTAGGACTGCCTGTAGGTGCAACGCACAAGGGTAACAGGCCCATTCAGTCCGTTCCTTATGTCCATGAGCTCTGTTGTTCTCCACTAGAGCATGTGCTCCAAATCCAGCCCGTGCTGGCCATCCCACAAGCAGAAATGATGGAGGAGAGCCTGGCCAAACTGGGACAAACTCACCCTACCATGCCCCAGTGGTCCCAGGAGACCCAGGCCTTGTGCAAAATACCAGCCAGCTTCTTCCTCTGTGTTTCCATGGTGACGAAGGCAGCGTTTGGTCTCCTGACCATAGAAATGAAGAACAGAGGTCCCAGGTCTCCCTTTCTTAGCCAGACAGAAAAGAGCCTCACTTACCTGCTAAGATGAAGACGCCCACGAGAATCAGGAAGACCAGCAGGTAGAGGCCGAGCACGGCATGCTTCAGGGCTGACAAGGAACCCAGCTGGGCACAGCAGCTACCCGCCCGCCGTTTGTGACACGGACCTGGACAGCAAGGGGAACGGGAGAAAGGAAAGAAGATGATTGAAAGGTGTCTTTTTTGGGGGGGGGTCATCCGGTCATGGGGCCTGAACTCCGGGCCGGGGCACTGTCCCTCAGCTCTTCAGCTCAAGGCCAGCGCTCTACCACTTGAGCCACAGCGCCACTTCCGGCTTTTTTTTTCTCCTGCTTATGTGGTGCTGAAGAATCGAACCCAGGGCCTCATGCATGCAAGGCAAGCACTCTACCACTGAGCCACCTTCCCAGCCCTGAAAGGTGTCTTTGAAGCTGTTTTTCTCTTTGGGTCTCCTCTCTCCCAGATGCACACAGATGTTCATGGAGAAAATCTCATATCCCTTCTGCACATCTGTAGTGCAGCCTCCTTAACAGGAAGCTTTCTAGCACCATTGCAGAATGTTCAGCTTTGAGCTCTCTTCTTGCCCTTTCCGTTCATGAACAAACCAGACAGTTGCATCCATAGCTTGGGTTCTCACACCAGAGTCAACCAAGGCAGACCGTGGAACGGGCTCGAATACATTTTCTTTACTTAGTGGCATTGTCTCAGGTGACCTAGAGACTACAGGGAGAATTTAAGGCAGAGCTTGCCAGCTCAAACTTCTGCAGCAGCCAAGAAGGGAATGAAAGTGAGCAAAATGTGTCATGTGGCTTTGGCCAAGTATGGCTGCACTACAGAAGTTTACAGCCCAGGGACGGGGGCGGTGTGGTGCTATACCCAGGGACATTTGACACATGCTACAAGTGGCTAGCGGACATCTCCATATTTTTTGAGTGTTGACAGCAAGTTAAAAACAAAAAACCCTGGAGAGGGTCAATAAAAAGCTCACAAGCCAGATGTGATCACTGGCATGCAACCCTGCGTTTGGGTTGATCAGAGAACAGGGTAACCTGGGCGATTACATACCGTTCCTCAGCTTCTCTCCCTAGGTAGAACAGCAAAACATCCTGGACCATGTACTCCAACCCTTCCGTGTACAGAGACAAATGTCCAATATTCCTTAGTTCAATGTCACCTTCCAGCTGAAGTTGTCCTTCAGGGGGTCTCTCAGATGGCCCAGGCAGAGGCCAGGAAAGTTAATAACCACCACCTCCTACGTCAACTGGAAGGAGAGAGGAAGGGCTGCTCTCCCACCCTGACCTCAGAGGCTAGGAAGAATCACCCTGGGGTGGGGCGGCAGGGGTGGTAGACTCTTCAAAATAGTCATACTCACGCCTTGCAGGTGAGACGCCGTAGACAGGCTTGTTCCCCACCCCAGTGGTGCTGCTGGCTAGCGTGCCCTGCCTCAGAAGAGGCTAAGGGGCAGAAAAGGCCAGCGTGGGAGTTTGAAATCATTGATACTTAGAAAATGAAAGAGAGTGCGATGTCACGCTCTTTAGTAAGTGCATCGGCACGGCGCTACCTCTTGAGTGGCACTGCTACCTTTTTGGTCTTAACAGACTTTATCCCCAATGAGAGAAGGCTGGGGGCGGACAGGGCAGCTATTCTGTTGAAGCCTTAGGATCAGACAGTGCTGCACTCCCAAAGTTGTATTATTTAGTTATTTTTTGTCAGTCATGGGGCTTGAACTCTGGGCCTCAGCTCTTCAGCTCAAGACTAGTGCTCTACAGACACTTGAGCCAGAGCGCCACTTCTGGCCTTTTCTGCTTATGTGGTGCTGAGGAATCGAACCCAGGGCCTCATGCATGCAAGGCAAGCGCTCTATCACTGAGCCACCCTCCCAGCCCCCCAAAGGTTGTATTATTGGAAGAAGATTCTCCCGATTCTTTCTACTTTGTGGCAAATACTACTTTTTAAAAGCTAAGCTGAACTATTATAAAATATTTCCATAAAACATTGGGTACAATGTGAAGCAAGTTGTTTAAAAAACAAAACAAAGAAATCCAATGACCATTCTCACGAATCCTAGAATGCTAGTACAGTTTGAAGAGTCAAACTGATTTTCTACTGAGATTTGGATACAGTACATCTTTCTACCTCATTTTAATTTTTTTAAGGATTTCCCACCCCTTCCCCCAGTAGGTCACAAGGAGTTTTACTCCTTAAATATGTAAGTGCTGGGACCATTTCACCTTTTCCTTGTGCTGAGAGCTAAACTAGCAGTCTCCTTGAAACTAATCAGAGCAAAGGAGCCAGGAAGAGAGGCACAGTATATTGTATCAGTGTTACATTTGTACAATACTGATATATAAACAGTACCCTGAGCACCTCTGGTCTCCTGTCCTTGTCAGTTCCAGTCCCCGTGGCCCCCCGAGTATGTGTGCTCCTCTCTCTTTTACTATTATTACTTTTGTAATTGTTATTGTGTAGGTGATGTGAGAGGGGTTACAGTTACATAAGGCAGGTAGTGAGGACCTTGCTTTCTGAACAGCGTCACCTGTTCCCTCATTTTCTCCCAGTTTGTCGCTCCTAACCCCCTTCCCCCACAAGCTGTATAGTTCGTTTTCAACACAGTGTCCACTGAGTATCGCTGCTGCATTTGTGCACACTTTGTTCCTCCTTACCCTCCCCAAAACAGATAAACTTACATACAAGATGAAAGTTACAAAAAGCAAAAACAGCAACCAAGGAGAAGCAGAGAGAGAGACAGAGAGAGAGACAGAGAGACAGACAGAGAGAGTGCGAGAGCAGTCTGTTTTATATGATCGTGTGCATTTAGCTATTGAGCCTTTGTGATTCTTTCCTAAGAATACCCTCCTTTGGTCTCACTCTATCAATGTCTAGAGTCCTGAATAATTTTTATCATGTCCAAGTGTAATTTTGTTGTCTTTTACCATTCAGTGTGTTTACTTAGAGACTTATAGGCACATTCTAGTTACAACAAATGAGGGAAACCATGCAACCTATGCTTCTTTGGGTCTGGCTTACTTCACTTGCTCATTTCTTTTAAGAGAGGGAAGGAACAGATCCTTCTCCAATACCACTGGCCTCGGTCATTCCTCTATAACTCACACCTGGGTTCAACACATCAAACTCCATAGAATTCCAAGCACCAGAGGTGAACCCAGCTACAGCCCACGGACAATGATGATAAATGCCGCGTCGGTAAAGCTTCACTGACTGTAATGCGAGCAACCCCGGGGTGGCGGTGGGAGCATTGATGATTGGGGACTTATGTAAACACTTCATATTTTCCAATTCATTTTGCTACAAACCTAAATCTGCTCGAAAAAAAGAAGTATCTATTAAACATAAAAGTAGCTGAGCCCGGTGGTGATAATAATAATCCCAGCACTTGAGAAGGAATGCGGGTTCAAGGCCAGCTTGGGCTACATACTATAGGGATGAAACTTGTCAGAAAACCAGGTGCCAATAACTCATGCCTGTAACTCTAGCTGCTCGGGGTGAGAGGGGGCTGAAATCTGAGGTCTGACCTTCAAAGCCAGCCTGAGCAGGAAAGACAATGAGACTCTTACCTCCAAATAGCCAGCAAAAAGCCAGAAATGGAGATACAGCTCAAGTGAGAAAGCACCATCCTTGAACGAAAAAGCTAAGGGACAGTGCCCAGATCCTGAGTTCAAGCCTTACTTCTGGCACAAAAGTAACCACTTTAACAAGCATTTAGTGTATATTTATTATTAGTTACCCCAATGGCGGCAGGCTTCAGGACAGGCCCCCATGACACCGGTCCCTGGGAGGAGCCCCTTCCGTGTGCGTGCGACCAATAGAATAGAATATGGCAGAAGTGCGGATGTGTCCTTTCTGAGATCAGACAACAGACACTCTGCAGCTCCCTCTTGTCCACGTCTCCCTCCTAGAACAGTCATTGCGGGAGCAGCCAGCTGCCATGTCACCAACACCCCCAGAGAAACCTCAGCTTCAGCCAACAGCCACGTGTAAGAGCCCAGAAGCAGCTCTTCCAGCCCAGGCGGCTTGAGGGCCACTCCTTCGTGGGGCAGTACCCTGATGATCTAACTGCACTCAGGAGAGACCCCGGGACGCAACTGCACTGTATCTCAGCATATTTCTGATCAGACACATTATCTGAAAATACTGACAAACTCTGGCTTTCCTTCCATCCTCGGTGAATCTGTCTGATGACTTCTGGGGGGCGGCAGATGATTTATCACACGGTGGTAGATAATGAATGCACTTATGAAATGTAAGGATGACGGCTAACGAGGGAGAGAGTTAGCACCGTCCTTTCCTTCCAACTAGCCAGTCCCTGGGCCAGTGCTTGGCACATGCAGGCACCCAGCAGGCAAAGATGCCGCCCCTGTGCCCCAGAAGCTCCCCAGAAGAAGAGAGGAAGAAGGCATGAGACCAGGGAAGAAAGGAGTCAGGCAGGAAATGCTGCCTGCAAAGGAGGTGAGCTGGTTTCTGCAGGGACTAAGTCCATTCTTCTGTCTGTCAGTTTGTCTGTCTCTCTCCTTCCCCAAATTGTCCCATGTACAGTTACTATAAATTTGAAAACTGTGGCTTTAAGAAAATTTCCTTTCTTCATATGAGAGCATTCTGAAGGAAGCTCCTCCACGAAGCTGTTATTTATTAAGTGTTGCTGTTGTTGTTTGCAGATGCGGGTACGCTGGAGACCAGATTGATGGAGAAAATGGTGAACAGCAATCATGCCAATGAAAACACTTCCAAGCTCTACAAGGATCATGGGAACGGTTTTCTCCATCTGGCTGTAGCCGCCTCAAATGAGGATGGCATCTGAGATTGGGAAGTCCAGGGAAAGAGGCTCAAGAGATCAGGCAGAAAAAGGCCAATGGCCCTGACGGAGCATACACAAACTATAAAATCAGTGTGAAGTGAAAAAGGAGCCCAGAACGCAGGCTGGGAAGCACTGTTTATCTCAGTGTGGGGCATGCAGTTCCCTGGGGGTGGCTGGAGCCCAGAGGCCTCCGGATCTCCAAAGCGGTTGCCTGCGCAGCCTGCTTGTCTGCAGCTCCGTATCCCTGGGCTAGTTTTCTTAACTTTATTCCACTGTTTTTTAATGTTAACTTTGTTTAAGGAGGAAATCCTGTATCATCACCACAGGTGGAAAATT